CTGGTTTATGGGGTTCCTAGGCAGGGGGGGGCACTGGTTTATGGGGTTCCTAGGCAGGGGGGGCACTGGTTTATGGGGTTCCTAGGCAGGGGGTCACCGGTTTATGGGGTTCCCACACCAGGAGTCACTGGGCAGGGGGTTCCCAGGCTGGAGTGTTGCTGGGAGGGGAGTTACCGGGACAGGGGTGAGCAGTTTATGGGGTCCCTCGTTTGTGGGGTTCACGGCCGGGGGGTCACTGGGAGGGGTGTCACGAGTCTGTGGGGTCAGCGGGTGGGATTTTCCCGGCCTAGCAGAATCCCCGGGAAGGGGATTCCCGGGCTCTGGGGCAGGCAGGGTCCCCCAGGGCCCTGACCCCCGTTCCCGTGTCTCCCAGTCTCCAACGAGGTGCCGGAGCACCCGTGCGTGTCGCCCGTGTCCAACCACGTGTACGAGCGGCGGCTGATCGAGAAGTACATCGCCGAGAACGGCACCGACCCCGTCAACAACCAGCCCCTGGCCGAGGAGCAGCTCATCGACATCAAAGGTGCCCGGCAACGCCAGCCCCGCCTGGGAATTGCCTGGGAATTGGGGGGGTGGGAGGGGATTTCCCCAGGGATGGGAGATTTGGCGAGGTGGGATTGGAGCACAGGGGTCCTGAGGACGTGGATGACCCCTTTCTGTGCCGGTTGCCCAGCGTGGCTTGTGGTGCTGGGAAGGGTTTTTCTGAGGGATGTGGGAGTTTGGGGAGGTGGGAATGGAGTTGGGAGGACAGGACATTCCTGAGGACAGGAATGACCCCTTTCCTCGCCCATTGCCCAGCGTGGCTTGGGAGATAGGAAAAGGTTTTCCTGAGGGAGGTGGGAATGGAGCACAGGGATCCAAAGGGCTCCTGAGGACACGGAGGACCCCTTTCCTTGCCAGTTGCCCACCCGATCCGCCCCAAGCCTCCCTCGGCCACCAGCATCCCGGCCATCCTGAAGGCGCTGCAGGACGAGTGGGTAAGCCGTGGGTCGGTTCCCGGTGGGATGTGGGGCGGGATGGCGCGTCACACCCCCCCCCGGGCTGACCCCGTCCCGTCCCGCCCCGCAGGACGCCGTGATGCTGCACAGCTTCACGCTGCGGCAGCAGCTGCAGACCACGCGCCAGGAGCTGTCCCACGCGCTGTACCAGCACGACGCCGCCTGCCGCGTCATCGCCCGCCTCACCAAGGAGGTCACGGCCGCCCGGGAAGGTGAGACCCCCCCGTCCCGCGGGAGCTGGGGAGGGGCGCTGGGACCGGCTCCGTGCCCGCTCCCCCCGCCCCAACTCGCGGTGTCCCCGCAGCTCTGGCCACCCTGAAGCCCCAGGCCGGGCTCATCGTGCCCCAGGCAGTGCCGTCGGCGCAGCCCAACGTGGCGGTGAGTCCCTGCTCCCCGGCCCGGTCGTTCCCGGCCCCTTTCCCGCTTGTTCCCGCTGCCAAATCCCTCCTCTGGGTGTCCCCCTCCACCCTTGTTTCTGTGTCCCACCCAGGGCGCCGGGGAGGCCATGGATTTGGGAGAGCTGGCGGGAATGACCCCGGAGATCATCCAGAAGGTAAGGGCTGCTCCGTGTGTCCTGTTCTCCCGTGGAATTCCCGACCCGTGCCAACCCTCCCCTTGTTTTCCAGCTCCAAGACAAGGCCACGGTGCTGACCACGGAGCGTAAGAAGGTGAGTGACCTCACCCAGACATTCCCTGGGAGCCGGGATATGCTGTGCTCCAGGAGAGGCTGATGTTTATCCCTGTTTTCCAGAGGGGCAAGACCGTCCCCGAGGAGCTGGTGAAGCCGGAGGAGCTCAGCAAGTACCGGCAGGTCGCCTCCCACGTGGTGAGTGCCAGGATGGGAAAAGGCTGGAAAACCGGGAGCTGGGAATCCCTTGAGGTTTCTGGATTCCTTCTGGGAGTGTTTTCCTGCTTGTGGTATTTAATCTGGGGGTCTCCTGCCTCGCACAGGGGCTGCACAGCGCCAGCATCCCAGGAATTCTGGCCTTGGATCTGTGTCCTTCCGACACCAACAAGATCCTCACCGGTAAGGCAGGAATGCGGCTGCCTGGGATGGGATCTCTGTGCTTTTGGGAATGCAGGATGGGACAACAGGGTGAAGGACTCCCTCCCCTCACGGCAAAGCTGCTGAGGGTGGGATTTCCCAGGAAAAGCGGGTGGATTTGGAGTTGCTGGCCCCACACTCCCATCCCAGCACTTCCTGCTTGGTTTTCCAGGTGGGGCGGATAAAAACGTCATCGTGTTCGACAAGAGCTCGGAGCAGATCCTGGCCACGCTCAAGGGACACACCAAGAAGGTCACCAGCGTCGTCTTCCACCCATCCCAGGTGCCTGCAGCCTCTCCCCTCATGGCCAGGATTCCTCAAGTTTGCGTTTCGGGACCCTTTTTCTCCGGAATCTCCAGCTGGGAGCTCTGGGGATGGTGAATCCTGCCCGCGTTGACCTTCCCGCGCGGTCCCCGTTTAGGAGTTGGTCTTCTCGGCTTCTCCCGACGCCACGATCCGGATCTGGTCCGTTCCCAACGCCTCCTGTGTCCAGGTGGTCCGTGCCCACGAGGGCTCCGTGACCGGGCTCAGCCTCCACGCCACCGGAGATTACCTGCTCAGCTCCTCAGATGACCAGGTGGGACACATCCCATCCCATGGATCCCACCCGTGCTTCCCACTGCTCCGGAGCCAATGCTTCTCCTGTTTTTTTCCCAGTACTGGGCTTTCTCGGATATCCAGACGGGCCGTGTCCTCACCAAGGTGACGGATGAGAGCTCCGGCTGTGGTAAGGATTAGGGATGAGTAGCCCCATCCCGGGGGTCTCTGGGCTCCTGGAGCTCTGGACAACTCGTTTGGGGGGGAGGGGTCTTGCTGTCCTTGAGTCTTCCCAACCCTCCTGACTGTTCCCAACCCCGAGTGTCCCCGTGTCTCTCCAGCTCTCACCTGTGCCCAGTTCCACCCGGACGGGCTCATTTTTGGGACGGGAACGATGGATTCGCAAATCAAGATCTGGGATCTGAAGGTAGGGCTGGCCCTGATGGGAATGTGGGGGGGAGTCCAAGGAGTGGGACTTTGGGAAACATTTTAGAAAGTTTCCTCTGAAAACCCCCAGTTTCAGTGGTGACACTGTAACCGTGGTTGGGGTTGTCCCGAGAAGATCCGTTCATCCCGTTAACTCCGGAGCGGAACGATGGCACGTTCCCGCTCTGTGATTCCCTGTCTGAACCCCTCATCCCTAGGAACGCACCAACGTGGCCAACTTCCCGGGGCACTCCGGGCCCATCACCAGCATCGCCTTCTCCGAGAACGGATATTACCTGGCCACGGCCGCCGACGACTCCTCCGTCAAACTCTGGGATCTGCGGAAGCTCAAGAACTTCAAGACGCTGCAGCTGGACAACAACTTCGAGGTGTGTGGGGGTGTGTGTGTGTGTGATAGCACCTTTCCCCCCTCCAAAATGGGGCCAGCGTCCCAAAAATGCCTTGGGAGCTTTCCCGACGCCTCGTTCCGCTTCTCCTCCGCAGGTGAAATCCCTGATTTTCGACCAGAGCGGGACCTACCTGGCGCTGGGCGGGACCGACGTCCAGATCTACATCTGCAAGCAGTGGACGGAGATCCTGCACTTCACAGGTGAGGGGTTGGGGTGCTGGAGGTGGGCTGGGATCCATGGGAACCAGGGAGCCGTGACCTGGGAATGTTTTCCACCCCCCCAGAGCACAGTGGCCTGACCACGGGAGTGGCCTTTGGCCACCACGCCAAGTTCATCGCGTCCACGGGGATGGACCGGAGCCTCAAGTTCTACAGCCTGTAATCCCGGGATCCTGCCGGGATTGGGGGTGGGAGGGGGGTGGGAATATCCGTGTGGGATTATCCGAGTGGGAATACCCCGGTGGGATTATCGAGCTCCCCTGTCGTAGCTGTTAGTGCAAGGGGGAAGTCGGGCGTCGTCTTCCCCGCACTCCGTGAATTTGCTGTTTAGGTTTTTTTTTTTGCCCCCCCTAATTCGTTGTGTTTTCCACCTTTAGAATTGTTTTGTGCTTGTAACTGATGTGAACCCCCCACCCCCTCCCCAGTCCTTGCGCTCCTGGAATTTGGAGGCTGGGATGTGTGGAGGGAGGGAAGGAACGTGCAGATTTTTGTATGCAGTTACTTAGTTTCGGTATGGAAATAAAGGATTCTTCCCTGTCATCCCACTGGGAAAGGGTTCCGCTCCTGTAAAGGGTTTGGTGGGTAGCAGCATAGGATTTGGGGGGCTGGGGGTGTTTCCAGCTTGGGAATAGGGATAAAGGATCCCCTTTCCTCCCACTCCCAGGATAAACCACCCCTGGAGCTGTGATTTGCACTGGTTTATTTTTCCAGCTTTCCCAGAGAAATCCAGCGGCGTTGGGTGGAGGCAGGAGCTGTGAAGAGGAGATGAGTTAGAGGGATGAAGGGTTGTTTTGGGATGAAGGGGTTTTCAGGGAGCAGAGGGCACTCACCTCCTCACCCTCTCTTGGAAACCTTGGGAAAGACAACGCATCCCTGGGATGTGACTGTTCCCATTCCATCGCCCGTCCTGCTGTTCCCCGGAGACCGACGCGCTCCTGGTGGGAACAGAGCGTTGGGGTGGGGAAAGGGGGGCACACGGAGGGACCCCTGAATCTCAGGAAGCTCCTGGACTTACGTGAGGTCGCTCCCAGCTGGCAGGAGGGGCGGCATGGCTCCGGCTGGGCCAGGTGGCACACGGAGGCACTGCAGGAAATGTACACCTGGGAAACACAGGTGGGCTGGGATCAGCTGGAGACCCCTGGAAGGGGGCTCCAGGACTCAGGGAGACCCCCAAAAAGGGGCTCCAGGACTTGAGGAGACCCCCAAAAAACAGATTCAAGCTTTGGGGAAGTCCCATAAAGGGAGTCTCAGCCTTGAGGAAGCACCAACAAGGGGAGTTCGGAGCTGGGATGGATTTGGGATGAGGGATTCCCAGCACTGGGATGCCCCAAATGCACAACCCACCTCTCCCTCCATCACGGCCATCCCGGGAGGCTCCACAAAGGTGAAGGTGGAGATGACAAACCGCTGGTAGTGGCTTGGGAACGGCAGCTCCAGAGAGGCCGGACCCACCGGCACCATCCGTGTCCGGTAATTGTCCCCCTGGAAGGGACACCTGGACGGGCAACCAAGACCCTCCGTGGGCACCATCCATCCACCCTCACCTCCATCCCCCCGTCCCACTCCACTCACCCGTCCACCAGGATGGGCCACTGGGGCTGGGAGGTGGCGCTGGAGCTGGGAGAGGCCCAGCACTGGTGGAGCACCAGCACTAGGTTGGGATCCGTCTTCTGGAGCAGCCGGACTTCCACGAAAATGGGGTCCCGGAGCACCCTCACCAAGGGGAAGTCACCCACGGGGTGGTAGGAGCTGTAGGATTCATCTGTGGGAATGTTGGGAGGGGTTGAGTGGGATGGGGAGCGGGGTTGGGAGCGGGGTGGGAAGCCGGGAATCGCTCACCGGTGGCAATCCGGAGCTCGAGCCCCAGCGGTCCCGGCATTGCCAATGGAGCGGCCGTGGGGGGCACAGCCACCTCCATTCCCAAGGGAAGGAGGTCGCTGGCGTTGTAGATGCACCGAGCCTGGAGACTGGGAAGGGGCAGAGGAAGCTGGAAGACTCCCAAATCCTCCATCTGCCCCTTCCGGCATCACCTCTCCCAGCCCAAACTGGGGGGGTGGGGAAAGCTGGGAATTTGGCAGGAGCGAGGATTGGGTTGATCCCAGGGTGGGAGGGCAGGACAGGGTTTCCAAAGGGGAATCCTGGCTCTGTGTCCGGCTTTTCCTGCCTTTCCCTTACATGTAGACGCTGTCCCGGGTGACGAAGCCGCGGGAGGATCCCTGGACATCGATGGTGGAGATCAGCTGGTTCTCGTAGATCAGCCGGTCCTCGATCACCTGGAGGGGACACGGGAACAGGGAACATCCTGGGGGATCCACGGATCGGGATCTGACACAGGAGGCAGCGTGTGGGTGAGTTCTTTATCCTGAAGTGGGTTATGGAGCTGGGAGCATCCTGGGGGATACATGTATCGGGGTTTGAGATAGGAGGGAGTGCGGGTGAGCTCTTTATCCTGGAGTGGGTTTTGGAGTTGGGAGCATCCCGGGGGATAAATGGATCAGGGTGAGCTCTTTATCATGAAGTGGGTTATGGAGCTGGGAGCATCCTGGGGGATACATGGATCGGGGTTTGAGGCACAAGGCTCTTTATCCTGAAGTGGGTTTTGGAGTTGGGAGCATCTTGGAGTTCTGATGGATCAGGGTTTGAGGCACGAGGCAGAGGATAGATGAATTCCTTATCCTGACATGGGTTTTAGAGAAAAACATGGAAACGTGGAGCTGTGAGCATTCCGGGGGATTTACGGATGAGGGTTTGAGGCATGAGGCAGAGTGTGGGTGAATTCTTTGTCCTGAAGTGGGTTATGGAGCTGGGAGCATCCAGAGGGATAAATGGGTCAGGGACTGAGGCACGAGGCGGAGGCTGGGTGAGCTCTTTGTCCCGAGTGTTTCCCGGCCCTCTCCCATCCCCGGGGGCGCTCCGGGGTTCTCCCGGTACCTGCACGGTGGTCCCGCAGCGCGTGACCGGGAAGCGGAACATGACGGAGCTCTCGGTGACGCGGAAGGGCTCACACCCCGCCTGGCTGCCGGCCAGCCGGACGCTGTCCAGGTTGTAGGGCTGCACGGCCATTCCCCGCGGGACCACCAGGATAAACTGCCCCTCCCGCAGGCACTGCACGGTGGCTGCGGCACCACGGAGACATTCCATCACCCCGGTGCCCAGGGGATTCCCGGGATGCCCCTCCCCGAGCGCCCTACCCGTGTTCCCGTAGTAGCAGGGCGTGGCACGATCCGTGTCGTCGTGGCAGCATCCCGCCTGGATGCACCCGTCCCGTCCCTGCGGAGCCACGCACGGCATCCGGCCCACCGGCACCTGGCACTGCTCCCGCGTCAGCTGCATTCCTGAGGGTGGGAAGAGATCGGAACTCCTCCTCGGGAACACCCCGGTCACAAAGTCCCCCTGGCGAATCGTGGAATTGTTGGGTTGGAAAAGCCCTCTAAGGTCACGGAGTCCGACCGTTCCCGCAGGAATGCTGAGGCCACCACATCCCCAAGTGCCACAGCCACGTGTTTTTGGGATGCTTCCAGGTGTGCTGTCCAGGACTGCACAACCCTTACCATGGAAAATTTTACCTGATATCCAACCCAAACCTCCCCCCGGCACAACTTGAGGCCAGTTCCTCTTATCCCAGCCCCTTGTCCAGCCCTCAGATCCAGGGCTGCATCCCTTCATCCCGCTTTTCCGCCATACCTGCCCCTCCCGAAGGGTAGAAGAGTGCCGTGGGCTGGAGTGGATTGTGGATCCCAGGATGCAGCAATCCAGGCTGGAGCCCAGGGCTGATCAAACCCGGCCAGGATGAGAGTCCCGGGCGCACTAAAGCCGGACTGGGATGGCCGGGATGGATCAGCCCATTGTGGTTTGGGAGCCCAGTTTGGGAGCTGGAGACAAAACTGGGCTGAGCCATTCCTGGCTGGTTTGGGAGCTGAGATCCTGGGCGCAGGAATCCTGCTGGAGGGTGAGCACCAGCGGGGGTCAAGCCAGGTGAGTTTTGGGATGCAGACCCTGGGCGAGGCCCTGGCTGGGTCTGACTCCCAGGATGCACCGGACTGGGAGGATTTTGGAATACAAACCCTGGACGAAGGCCTGGTTGATTTTGATTCCCAGAATACACTGAACTGGAAGGATTTTGGGATGCAGACCCTGGGCGAAGGCCTGGTTGATTTTGATTCCCAGAATATACTGAACTGGAAGGATTTTGGGATGCAAGCCCTGGGCGAAGCCCTGATGGGGTCTGACTCCCGGAATGCACCGGACTGGGAGGATTTTGGGATACAGGCCCTGGGCGAAGTTGATTTTGACCCCAGAGATTCACCGAACTGGGGTGGTTTGGGGATAAAAACCCTGGGCGAAGCCCTGGTTGAGTCTGACTCCCGGGATTCACCCAACTGGGAGAGTTTTGGGATGCCAGCCCTGGGCGAAGCCCTGGCTGAGCCTGACTCCCAGGATTCACCGAACTGGGAGAGTTTTGGGATACAAACTCTGGGCGAAGGCCTGGCCAAGTTTGACCCCCAGGAAGCCTCCAACTGGGAGGATTTTGGGATCCAAGCCCTGGCTGGGTCTGACCCCCAGGGCGGAGGGGCTGCACTCCCAGGTGATTGAAGCCTCCCTGGATATTGGAGACGGGACGAATCCCAGTAGACTCGGACGGAAGCCCTGGGCGAACTGGGTTGGGCTGGGGCGGAATCCCGGGAAGCACCGAGCTGGGCCCATTCTGTGCCACAGTGTGAAGCTGCTCCGAGTGGGTGTGGGTGTGGGATCCCGCCAGGGTGAGGGAGGACTGGGAGACGTGGTGCTGGAGACCAGTGTGGGAGACCAGGATTCCGCTATCCCGGCCCCGCTCTGGGATGCCGTCCGGGAGCGTCTCGTAGCCACCCGGCTTCGGGCAGGTGATGTTGACCTCGGAGGAGGTGAGCAGGATCCCGCTGGGAAGCAGCTCCTCCAGCTGCACCCTCAGGACGTAGCGGTTCCCCTGCAGTGGGATATGAGGGATAGTCACCTCCATCCCACGGGGAAGGGGAAGGGGTGGGAATGTCACCTGGAGCAGGAAAGGGCAGGGGAAGGGGTGAGAATGTCACCTGGAGCAGGAAAGGGCAGGGGAAGGGGTGAGAATGTCACCTGGAGCAGGAAAGGGCAGGG